GGACTTGGACTCTGCTTCTCTTCCCTACCTGGACTCCAACCCTTCCACTGAGTCTCGTTCTCCTGCTGCCATTGTGAGTGTGTATGTGTGAGTGTGAGTGTGTGAACCAATAACTTCATGGGACTGTGTAGTGTGTTGTCTGTTTAATAAAACTGTTATTTGGACCCTGTAACAGGGAACCCTAACCTTGTCACCAGAAAGCAGGTCCCCCCTTTAAGGCCAGAACTTTCTAGGCATGGAGTGCTGGTGAGGAAGGGGTTAAATGCTGAGCCTGGCTGGCTAGTCAGGTGACCGGAAGGGGAAGGACTATAAAAACCCTGGGCAGAATGGCAGTAAGGGGGATAGCAGCTGAAAGGGAAGAAGTGCCTCTGAGAGCTCCATAGAGAAGCTGGGCAGTCCAAAAGCCAGAATGATGGAAGCCATGGGGAGATGGCAGCCAAACCACAGCAAGGACTGTAGCTGACGGAAGGGAGCTGAGGCATGAACCTGGTGAATGTAAGCTGACCTGCTGCTTTGCTTGATCATATTGGTTGGTGACAGTTGTTATTTTTTTTCTTTTTTGGGGGGGGTTATTGAATTAGACCTGTGGTTTGGGTGAGGCTATTAGGGGAAGGATGCCTCATTTTGGGGACCCATTATGGAGTGGGGACCCTGGCACCAGTGAGGGTGTGGTTTTTGGGGGCACAGACCCTGGTGCCAGTGAGGGTGTAGTTTTTGGGTGCATAGATCCCGGTGCCTGAAGGTGCGATCTTAAAAAGGCCAGGGAGGTCTGGTACACCTGGGGTGCAATTCTATTTTGCTTCTTTTTTTGACTGAGAGGGTACAAGTTTGGGGTTGTCCCCTGGTTTTGAACTTGTGACCCCCTGGTTGTAGGGATGGTGCCCAGGCCTCTGGGCCAGGGTGGGGGCTGGGCTCCAGATTGGAGCAAGAAAGGGGACCACGAGCCTCAAGACACCGGAAAAGGCTAGAGCCTCAGAGTTAAACTGTTTAATGGGTTTAGATGAGGAGGCCTAGCTAGAGAAAAACAGCAGTCAGGCCAGCATGGGTGAAAGGCCCCAACATACACAATACAATAGCAGTCTCCCACTCGTAAGAACATCATCATAATAATTTCCATCAAGACGTGGCAGGAGAGTGTAGGGTGGGACATAAGAACCCCAAAGAAGGCTCCAAGGATGCCCCATGTAAGACACGGATTACCAGGAAGGTGGCGCTGGGGAGGGCGACCTGTTACAGACCCGTAAGTTGGGTTTGGCTTTACTATGGTCTGGCCCTGCTCCAATCTCTGCCCCTCTAACTTCTGTCTCATTTCTCCCTCTCCTGCTTCTGGCTCATCACCACCTCCAACACCTGTCCTGAGCTCCTCTCTGCCTCCAACCCCCGTTTCTTTGCCACTGTCTTATCCCCACTGCCTTTTCCTTTTCCCCTGAGCAATCAGGTTTCTACCTCAGTTTCTTTCCTGGCTGTCTCCTTCTTGCCACCAGGCTTTTTCTTTCCATTGCACCAGTGACCTCGAGTAACCCTGGGGCCAATTGATCTTAAGTAAACCCAAGCCTCAGTTCCTCAGCTAGCTTCTCTCTAGTTCACCGGTTCTGATCCTGGTTCTGGCAACTTTCACTCCCTGCACTTTAACTCTTTCTCTCTCACCTTAACCTTCCCCCAAATCTCCCAGGTACCTCAAGCACACACGTACACACTGTACCATCCAAGTTAGGAACTTACCTGTGTGTGTGTGTGTGTATGTATGTATGTATAAAATATTGTGTGCATGATATAAGAATTAGTGATCTGTGTATGTATACTGAGTGTGTGGGTTATAGACAGTTGATTTTTGTCTAACTTTTGGGGTGTATACAGTATGTGCTTGAATTGGAGGTAGGTATGCATGTGCCTAGGCTAGTTTGGATGTGTACATGCCTGAGTTGGTAGTGTGTGTGTGTATGCACCTAATTGATTTGTGTGTTTGTATATGTGCAATTGTGTCACACCCTCCTGTCTAACAAAGCAATATTGAAATCCTGAGAGTTGGCCTGACCCCACAGGGCAATAGACCCAGCTAGAAGCATGTATAAAAGTAACATCATGTTCATGTTTTAGTCCTTGGTTGGATTTCTGTGGGAGATAGCTTTGCAAGTGAGGCTTTCATCTGATGGATTTTAGGGTGGCCCACTCTAGCAATAAATCTAGCCTTTGGACAAGATTAAAACTTTAAAGCCATACCCATCGCTCCATGGTCCTTTCCATTCCCCATGACCCCAAGGATTCCACAGTCTGATTATGTGTTCTGAGCCATTCTTGTAGGGTATCTGTAAAGGAAAAGAACAAAAAGCCAAGGAGTCTCAGCTTTCCATGATCAGGATATGCAGAGATGGATAACACATCTTTGCACCTCTGAGGACTGGTTTAACTCTTGACCTCATTTGGTGGCAGCTAAAAATTAATGCCTCCTTGCTGTGTGATAGAAAAATGAAGCATAAGAGAAAATTGTGTCCATTCCTCCTTTAGCACAGTAAGCAGTGAGCTAATACAGAGAGAAGCAGTCAATGACTTGCCATCACCTACTACTGTGACACAAATAGAAAAATGCAGTTACTAATTACATACAATTGGCATTTCTGAGCTAGTCAAGTCAAAGATTTTTGTAGTACAAGGCCAACGAGATAAAGCATATGAAAATGGGAGTGATACTTAGAGGAGGAGACTGGGGATTTTTCTCTTGGTCTATTTGTGGTGTTTGCAAACTTGAAATCCAATCCCTGATTCTTTTGAGCTCAGTATTTTCTGCAAAGGGGGTCGACCTTTTCTTCAGGAACTGGAGTTCCTGGTCTTGATTCTCCTGTTTTCACTGGCTTAACTCAGGAGTAACAGTGCTGAAGTCAGTGGCAGTAAACTTGTACAAGTGAGAGGGGAACTAGGTCTTCTGCATTATCTTTAACTTTCATCATAGACTCAGGGAGCTACTGGAGGTTATGAATGCTCAGTACAGGCAGAAAACTTTCCACAAAAACCAGGGACAGTTTCCTTAAAAGCTTTCCAAAGATGACGCCCCACTCCTCTCCTCGGCAGTGCTCCTGTGGGAGAGGTAAATAGGCAGTATTTTTCTCTTGCATGCGCTAGAAAGTGGCAGATTAACGGTTTGTCCACAGGAAGTCAGGAGTACAGCTGGGAACAGCTGCTCAGGTTTTCTGGCTCTTGGGCTTACTCTCTAATCCCTAGACAGGCTGAGATCCTTCCTTGGTTGCTGTAAATCTATAGTTTCATTTGCTTTAGGGCAGCAGTTCTGAACCTTTTTCAGTTGACTTACCCCTTGGTCTCAGAGTGAGACTTCAAATACCACCTTCCAATGGGAAATCAATTTTTTTAGACCCTTTGACCTGTATTAGACAGTGTATGAAATATATCTTATGTACCCCCTGATGAGGCTTCATGTGTATCCCGTGGGGGTACATGTACCCCCAGTTCAGAACCACTGCTTTAGGGGAACTTCACCAAATTACATCCCCTGGCTCTTCACCTTTTTATACTATAGTCACCGTTTTGATCATGAACATTTGCATGCCTCCCAAGGCTGAGGGGGCACGCCAACCACCCACAGGCAGCAGCGGCAGTGTTGGCAGCAGGGGCATGTCAGTGGCAAGTGGGGAGTGGAGGTGGTCGCGGCAGAGTCAGAGGTGAGTGGCGGGGAAGTGGCAAGTGCCGACTGGTGATCGGCGACCACCCTCAGATGCCGCTGGTGGTGTCGGCAGTGGGGGGGGAGGGGGTGGTGAATGGCAACTGCCTACAGGCACCACTGGCAGTGGCAGCAGCAGTCAATCTCAGGGCATGCACCGCCAATCTCGGAGTGCACGTGCACCCTCTAGGCATTGCCAGTGATTTTTGATATTGTGCTTCCCCAACAGATAAAAAGCAGTAGCAGTGGTATTCCCACCCCTCCTCATCTCCCTTCTACTCTTCTACTTTACAGGGCTCAAGATCACAACAGTTCCCCTTTATCTGTGGTAGCTGGATAGGGATTACCCTGGAGCCCATTCAGTCAACTCTTCAATCATCCAAGATTCACTGTCGAGTGACTCAAAGCATTTTCTCTGTGAGGAAAGGATTAACTGGAGCTAGGAATGATACTTAGGTCTTTGGCTGTTCTGACCTGTTGCTACAAAACCAAAAGTCCTTTCCTGTGAAGGCAGGCTGGGGCTGGGGTGCTAGAGGGGGACTGACACTTGGGTGATGAAAACAAGTACCTTTGCGAAGTGCTTTGAGATTCTGGGGTAAAAGGCATGGCATATCTCCCTCTGAAAGTCACTGCTGGACAAGAGGCTGCAGAGGAAGTTAAGTTATTGTCCGCCTTCCCCGTTTGTTTTGTCACCATCAACACATCCACATAGAGAAGAGAAGTAGGGTTAGAAGGGACCGTCACACATCATGTAGTCCAATCCCTGTCTGAAGCAGGGTTATCTCTATCCAAACCATCCCATACAAACCATAATCTGAATTCTACCATCAACCCTGACACAACACAAACCTAACGCCCTAACCTGCCACAGGTAAAGTAGGAGAACCATGGCAGTCAATGTCCTGCTTCTAAGAAATGTTGTCAATATATACTTAGGAGATCCTGGATAGAGGAATACACCCTCTGTTACAGAGGAAGGCAAGAAAAACCCCACAGTCCATACCAATCTGACCAGGAGCCGACTGCTCCTCAAGATAGCTCTGACCATGCTGCAAAAGCAAAAATGCTGTCTGAAATGAATCTTTTGAACTGAACTGGTGGAGTCTATCTTTGCCCCAAAATGGGCTTTTCCCCTAGTCAGGTATTATTAATATTGGAGCAGGAGGAGAGGTGCATGTTTATAAAAACCTAAAAATGTAAGGAAAAATAATTTCTTCTATCCAGCACTGAAAGACTCTTGATGTTATGCCGTAATGACTTTTATCTTATACCAAGATGAGATTAAAAGTTTGTTTTTTAGGTTTTTTTGGTAGAATGGAAATTCCCTCAAATTTTGTTTTAGTGCAAGCTCTGTGTTCGTGGAGATGGCACTGGGAGATAAGGCTCACCCGGCACTGGCCCCACGACCATGGAGCTGGCGCTGGAAGATAAGGATCTCTCAGCCCCAGCCCCATGATCACAGAGCAGGGACTGGAAGCTCCCTGCTGCTGGAGCAGGGAGACGTTGTCCCCACCCAGGCTCTGGAGGCAGAGCCCACCCTGGCAGCAGGCAGTTCCCGAGGACAGGGAGCAATGTCCCAGCTCCTGGGCCAGCAGCCAGGGGGAGCCTAGAGAGAGTTCCCCCTGGCTGCTGCAAGGGCCCAGTACAGGGCTGCAGGGAGTGGGAGCAGTCTGCTCTTAGGACCAGCAAATCAGCTTCTGCATCCCTGCACATGTAGACACATGCCTGGGAGAGTTTACTTTAGACTACTAGGCCGTGTGTAGACAAAACTAGAGGCATGTGTGCACAACACTTTAAAGTGGGCTCAGTGCTTTTGCACTGCTTTAATGGTGTTGGTGTTTGCAAGCCTCAGTGGCATATTGCACATTAATTCCAGCTGTTGTAGGAAATTCAGCAGCATAATGCACCTTGAATGACTTGGGGTGCAGCAAACTAAAACTGCTTCAAGGAGTTTTAATTTGCTGCCCCTACAGCTGCAGAGTGAAGCACCAGCCTCTGTGTAGCTCCACCGTTCTGGAGGAAGCCCTGCAGACAGTCTAGCAGCAGGCTGAGAAAGTAGCTCCAACCAAGAAAAGACACAAGCCTGATCTCCACCCCACCTCCCCCCTGGAGCCTGCCTGCCTGCCTGCCTGCCTGAGCTTCGCAGAGTCTGGTGCTTCTCCACGGCTGTGGTGCCCCCTAGGACCACCCAAGCTGGGTGTCTGCAGGTGGGTGACACCTGGTGGGGCACCACTGTTGCATAAATTAATGATTTTATCCCCTGGAGGCTAGTCCAATTCACCTCTAGAAGAGAGTCACACTTTCAGGCTGGATCCAACTCTATTTTATTGCTTGCAAGCAGGCCGACAGAGGAGCTTGTTGCTCAGATCAGTGTCGACCCTAAACAAAGAGTGCACGTGGCTTTTATTGGGCTAGCATTTTTTTCAGTTGACATGTTACATTTTGATTGGTCATTTCAAACCAAAACCTGAGCAACCTATAAGACATACGTAGTGGGCCATCCTGTACCATGTGGGTGGAAAGTTACAGAATGCAGGGGTTAATACTAAAACAAGGAACAAAGAAACATAGAGAAAAGTATCTATTTTCGCTACACCACTGCCACAAAGGGAAGCACCAGCCTCCCCTTGCAGCCGGGGGACTGCTCTGCCCACTAGCAGCTCACCCTCCCCTCCCTGCCGGAGAGGCAAGTAAGTCAGTGGGGTGTGTGCACAACATGGGGGTTTAATCAGCTCTAAATTGAAGCAGTGTTTTTTTTAAACCTGCCGCTTCAATTTAGGGCCCCCTTGTCATCTGCACACATCCCTATACTCTAGGGTAAACTGCTCCTGAATTATTTGCATATGTAGATGTGCTTATAGAATCAGAGACTGTAGAAAGACAGTGCTCACTGCAAGGCCTGTGTGTGAAATTCAGTGGTCTGGTGTTGTACAGGGGAGTACACTAGAGGACTGTAAAGGTCTCTTCTGATTTTAAAATCTATTGAAGTAGCCCAGAATAGACTAGAAGGACAACTACTAATGTAGACAGGCCTAGGGATTGAGGAAGGATCACAGTGCTTACCTTTCTGGCCCCCGTCACAGTGTAGGCATGGCCTTGCACAAGTCCATTATTCAATTCTATGTTTCCAGATGATTGCTGGAGAGAAAATAGCACAGCCCTTAGCCCACTGAAGGACTAGCAAGAATCTATGCATCCATGTGAATAATTGATATTTGATTTATTTGAAGGAAAGAAAAGGAAAAAAAAAGGGACCAACCTTTGGCTTACATCAGAATCTCAGCTGCAATAGGTCACTCTATAGCTATACGCATGTCCAAGAACCTTAATGAAATAGTGAGGGCATTGTGCAACTGCAAATCCCTTAAGGGTCCACACTTGGAGAAACTTGGTCATTGGTAGTAGTAGAGGTCTTGCAGCTCATTTATAGGTCTGTACTGCTTGAAGTGAAGGGATCCTTCCATTATCTGCTTAGCAGTAGTAGACTTCTATCCTCTAGTGAACTAGGCAGTAAAGAGCGCATGGCACATGTTTTGTTGGAACTCTGCATGTTCTGTATAAATCTGCAGGAGTCTCTTAGTAGCCTGCCAGCAGACATTGTGAATCCTTTTGTGATGCCCCTAGCAGAACATGACTGGCCCATAAAGCAGCATTACATCATTTCCTCATAACTCTGAATGCATTTTCAGGCTTTGAAGAACTTGTCTTATTTAGCCTTTAACTGTAGATTCTATTAATTGAACTATTAATCAATATCAAATAGCACCTCCAAATACTTTCTTTTTTGTCTTCCTTTCCTAGAAACTGATTTGTAATTGTGGTTCCAAAGTCACTGATCCATATTTACCCTGGTACAAGGGGTCTAAAGCTCTGATCAGGAGCTATCTAGAAACAGTATTTATAAACCAAATTTACAGGTTAAGTACTAGCCATGCGAAGCATCAGGTGCTGATTCGATTCGGAGGAGGTTCAGCCCAATTCGGTGGCTGAATCTCCAAATCCGAATTGAATTAGGAGACCAATTAAAATGTCAAATTCATTCAAAACTCTCTGAATTAATTTGGAAGAGATTTAGAGAGCTTTGGCAATTGGCTGCAGCAAAGAACTGGACCCAGACTCCATGCTAGTAAGTAGTGGGCGGGGGG